TATTTATAATTATCAAAGATATTTATGATTTGGTGTTACAATTTGTAACATAGTATTTTTTTCTATGTTTTTTTAAATCTCAAAACTCAGTCAATGTACATGATGAACATTAGTAGACTAGATATTCTTGGTGGGGAAATATAGGAGCGGTTTTGTAAAGATTTATGATGTCATATGACATCATGAATGTTTACAGTGGTATTACATGTTTTGTTGGTAAATGACCCATAAAATGACCCATATTGTTTTGAAAACAATGGAAAACATCTTGAAAAAATCTTGGAGTCATGAGATGCATTGGCCTGCCAGTGAGTCAGACTAGTAGTTGAGGGCTGTTTTCAGAGACACCAGGCAGTTGTTTGTGGCATGAGGCAAAAATTTGCTTGTTAAAAACAACAAAGGAAGTATTGCAAGGTTTGCATGTGAATTTGGTTCCAGGTTTTGGGTTGTGCCAACATAATTTGGGACATTGGACTTGTACTTGCTGGTTCTGCATCCTCATGAATCTTGCTTCTTTAGGTTGGGAGAGTCAGGCACCTGGAGTTGCCAGAGGTTCCAAGACACCAGCTGGAAGGTCAATTGCTTGCCAGATTACAAAGGTTGCAAGTACTGAGAAGATGGTTCAGGGGGTAGGGGTAACTTCATCAAAAACATTGAGAGGCAATGCTAAAAGGAATAAAAAATAAACCATTACAGATATATTGAATAAAACAAATGATACAGGATCAGGGAGATGTTTTATTTGAGGCTGGAAGGGTCAAGAATTGCCCTGTGGCAGGGTGATCATGCTTGTACTTGGAGCATGAGGATGGTTGATTTTGCTGAGAGATCTATTCACGGGAGAACAATTGGACCAGTGAGGTGAGCATCACCAGATGAGTTCAAGCATGACATGGAACTTGGAAGTACTGGCTGAGGGTGGGTGTTGACCAGACCAAGATCTTTCAAAAAAGGGACTGGTGTGAAGGTTGGTAGAAAAAACAAAGAGGACTGTAAGGAAGATGTAGGGGCAAAGTTTAAAGCCAATTGCGGACTGCGTCACCTGAGGGGTCATTGCGGGAGGGATCAGGCCAATGGGGACAGTCATATGTCTTGCAGGTTGCTGAAAAGCAGGTGTGCAAGGCAAATAGCCCAGAGTGGGTGGATGAAAGGGGTATGGTGGGGGTATGTTTGGCATAAAATCAAGTCAACCTTGGAGCTGTGCTGCTGGGGTGGTGTTTGACAAGATCCTGCTGGGAGAAATGATGTTTACATTTTTTTTGACACCGGAAATCAAGAACTTACCAATTACTGGCCATACTTTGAGCTATCAGGTCCTGCTAGTTGCACTTGTACATATCCTGTGGTGGGGATTGTATGTTGTTGATTCTGTTTTTGGCTGGTCTATGATAAGCATGAAAGAAATTGATATCAGTGAAAAAAATTAACAGGATGATGGGAAAGGGCTGAGCATTGGGAGCTTTCTGATTAACAAAGGTCCAAGACTTAGATAGTGTGATTATCAAAAAGTGGGACAAGTAATTCCTTGTCTGCTGGTGATATTGATAGGAATGCTTCTTGTATTTATGGGAGTCTGGCAAGCAATCAAGTTGTGGTTTCAAGATACAATGTTTGTTGGTGCTTGCTGGATGCAACTGTTGATTGAATCATTGACCAATCATCCAAATTTTCAATGAAAAAATGGAGCATGGGGTGGTGTTGAGTGATTGGACAAAATTTTGGATGAGGCTGATGCTGATAAATTTGGGTAGTTGACTGAATGTAGCTGCCAAACAAAAACAGGATGGGACATCTGGTTTTTGGTTGAGCTTCTGACCTAGGCTAAAGCTCTGGAATAGTATGGAAAGGACCCCGGATAGCTCCTATAAAGCATACCGACGAAAAAACACCAAATATTCAGTCCTTCATACCTGAATTTGAGGGTCTGGAGGGCCAAGAATACCTCTTTCGTTGGTAACATTTTGAATGAAAACTACCAAAATTTGCCAAAAAAATCCTCGCAAGTCCTTAACACTCAAAAATAGCCTAGGAAGGCCTAGAAAAGCTACAAAATTTCCCATTCATTCCTCCGATGTCGCTATGATCCAATGCCAACGAGGTCAAAACATACTTATTTCGTCGCTTACATCGCCAAAATTTCAAACCAAAAAGATACCTTTTTGGTCGGTACCTTTAATAGAAGCTATCCGGGGTCCTGTCTGGAATACACAACCACCCACATAGCCCTGTATTTGCTGTATCTGGGTTGTGCCATGTTATAGTGCTTATCCCTAAAAACAAGGAAATGTAGCATGGGGTTGTGCCCCAAATATTGAAATTTGAAAAGCACAGAAAAACTATTGATTGTTCCAACAAAATATAGAAACAGAGTTCTCAATCTCATGATTCCAAAACCACCTTTGAAGAAAGGTGAGTGTTGGCAGAGGGGATAGGTTTTGGGGATCTGATTTGATTTCCTTATTTTCAGGGGTAAGCACTATACAAAAATTCAAAAAAGATTTTTAATAATGACACAAATTCTTAGAACTATTGGGACAGTTGTATGTGACTTTCAATTTTCAGTATAAGTGTTGCATGACTATCCATTGTTGGATCAAAATTTGTGCATGGCTAGCATTCTCTACAGTCACAGGGAATATGTGAGAGAGTGAAACCAAGCCATAATCACCTCTCCAGCTGCCACACAAGTATCCACTGCTCATTTCACATGGATCATCCAGAGATGAGTGTGCTCCCACCTCAACCTCATTTGGAAGATTTTACCTGCCTTGTAGGCTCCTTCTAGAATGTGTGGTGAAGGTCAATCAAGCTTCAATATGGAGAGATCATGGAGGCGGACATGACCACAAGAGGATCCCATGATTATTATAAGCAACACCTTCAGTGGTCACACAATTGTCACCCTGCTTTCCCTTGATGCTCAATAGCAAAAATAATAGTGTCAAAAAATATATTTGAAATCCTATCAATCCATAACAGCAGTGTCCCTTTCCCCCATTGTAACTGGTTGGCCACCCCAGCAGCCTCCAGTGGTTTTCCCTCATGTGCCAAACCCAAGTTACACATTCATCTCATTACTATGATCTGTGCATACAAAATCCCCACAAAAGCAATCAAGGTGGATGTAAATAATCACTAGAATGAGGTATTACAAAAAAGAAAAGATGAACAAAAAAGTACAGTTTTCTAAATTTTTCTGTGAAATTCAAAGTGGGGCTGAGTGGGTTCCTTTTCCTTGACGAATCTTTGGGAGGGGCCTAGCCAAAATTTGTTGCCAGAATCTGTTCTTCCACAAAATCTGGTCATGCTAGTGGCAGCCTCAGTTCCAACATCCTAAGGTCTCAATCCATGTCCACACACGGTTAGGTGTGTTGCTAGGTAAGTGGATAAATGTTAAGATATTACATCTTTTCACAACTGGTTCAACCAAGGGGTGTGAATTCACCATATTGGGGAGGCTCAACTTGAACTCGCTTCTCAGATTATCCGAATTGTCAAACTTACTGAATTGCCTTGTGTCACTTTTGCAAAAGTTATGTAGGTCATGTCACAAGAGGGTCAAATTTCCAAAGTCTTTTGAATAAACTCAATGGAAGGGATGCCATGACATTCTCATCATACTTTTTACAATTTATGGCGTTCAAACATGCGCAAAAAATTTGCAAGTTGCGAGAAAGTTGTGTGCAAGTTCTTTTAAACATCTTGCATAGAACTTGGACAAAACTTGCAGACTTAAGAAAGTTATGTGTGAACCTAGGCTTCCCCGCTTCAAGGACTCAGTTTGCCCTTGATGAGAAAGGGTAAATACATACAGCAGGGGGTTGTCGGATCTTGCACGGATCTTGCACATCGGTTTTGCAAATTTCTTGCACATGTTTGAACGCCATAATTGTATGAGAATGTGACATGACCTCACTTTTCCATACAAACTTTAAGTGACACAGGACAATTCCAGATAATTCCCTGTGAGTTCTGGGTGACTTTACATTTCATATTCCACATATTTCATATGTCTGCTTGAGCAAGATGTTCATCGTGTGATAGCTAATATTGTGATCCCAGTATATACATTAAACTCAACTAAGTCCCTCGCTGACTCTCGCACGCTTCGAGCGCAGCGAGGGACTTATGACTCCCAAGCACATTTTTGCCTGTGAGGGAAATGAAATTTGGCAGGGAAAAACTTCTCTCCTTGTGAAACGTTTTCCCCTATTTGTGAAATTTCTTGGTCCAAAGAATTTTTTTCTTCGCCTACCTGAGCCGCTTCGATCTATCAAAACAAATCCGAGGAAATCGAGGAACCCTTCCTCTATGGGCTCCTGAAGTTTCACGTTTGAGGGAAATTTCTGGGACTTTGTCTTGTTTAAGCCGTCATATGTAATTGCTACAAGTGGATACAGTCGGAAATTACACCAAAAGCTGGAACTTGAGGAGCCCTTAGAGGGAGGTTTCCTCGGTTTCCTCGGTTTTTTTTTCGATGGTTCAAAGGGCCTCATAGAGGCGAACATATTATTTCTTTGGCTCAAGGATTTTCACAAATAGATGAAAAAGATTTATAAGGACACCAATTTCCACCAGCCAAAAGGCAATCCCCTCACAGGCGAAAATGTGCTTGGGAGTCATAAGTCCCTCGCTGCGCTCGAAGCGTGCGAGACTCAGCGAGGGACTTAGTTGAGTTTATATATACATAAGACACCTCGGCGTACTGTATCCAACTACTTGAAGTAGTGTAAAAACGTGTATGATACTGCCATTACCAGTGGTGCGTCTCTCATCTCGAACCGTCTCACACATCTTGCCTTTTCGGTCCCCCAACTTATGCTGACCCGAGAACTTTTTTGAATTTCAAGGTACACAACTTAGCCGCTTAAGGCTTAAGAATATGTAACTGGTGGAATATGTAACTGCTACATATGTATGTCAGTCAGAGCCTTCCACGTTCCAAATTCCCCCTCAACTCAGCGTCGTCTTCAATCTACAAATCTTTTGCATCACCCACTCACAAAACCTATCGATTCAATCTAACCTGCTGTCGGTGTTGATTGGCCCACACGTTGTTGGCTTCTCGCTACGAACGTCAGGGCCATTTGTCCCGCTGCATGGTCAACATCATTCACAACTCGAACTACACTCGAAATTCACGGGCCATCTACAGCTTACTCATTCAAGTGATTCAATCCTCAACCTCTCCTCACTCTCGCGATGGTTAAGAATCATGGTCTTTCTGGGTTCAATGCGGATATGTTTGGCCACGGAAAAAAACGGTCCCGAAGAATCAAAAAATCCCCCTCACCTGACATGAACCGTGAAAAAGCGTTGAAGATCAGTCAATCTCTTGGTATATTGAGGGATTCAGAAAATCCTCCCCCGCCTCCCTCTCCCGAACAAGACGATAACGACGAAAACAACTGGCAAGATGTAGATGACGGCGGTGTTGGTGTTGATAGCCAAATCAGGCCGGACTCTCCAGGTGATCAGTATGCTCGCCATCAAAAGTCACTCCGACGTGCAGAAGCCCGAGCTAAGGTCCAGCAAAGGTGGAAGGCACTAGAAGCTCAACTCACTGCATCGTACCTTTACCTTCAACACTACACCCGCCATTGGACCTCCCAGCCCTCGTTTAACTCATATCTTTCTGATGAGATTCAATGTCAATGTCCCCCTGCAAAACTTCGACAACGACCCATTGATCTGATTGACCTTCTGAGTTGGTTTGATTTTTTCGTCATTTCACTTTCTTTTCATTGACTGATGTCTCGCGTCTTTAACTAGGCCACATCAGCAAACACCCGGTCACATTCTGTGAATGTGTACCTGATGTTGTCCGTTTACTTCATGTGGGTTATATATCCGGCTCGCCTCAACATCCTCGCACTGCTTTCTCTGTCCGACTTGTGCAATTCCACCACCACCTCTGGAACAACACAGTTGTATCAACTACGGGATTTATTGATGCGCTGATGGATTTTCTTGATGAACAATGCGCTTCAAGATTGAAACCTCAACAAGTCAGAGGGACTTCCACGAAGAACTTCAATCGTATTCTCAGACATCCTTTTACTCAGGCAATCGACATACATCGCCAAATTCTCTTGGGCGAGCAAACTCTGTATGAAGAAGGCCTCGAACTAACTCCACTTGATATCTCTGCCGCTCTATGTTGTCGGTGTTTCGGTCCAGCAGAGGCAGAAGTCAAGTTGTCACCCAATGAACCGGACTTTATCATTGCGATGGATGGAAACTTCCAACATCGGCATCAAACCCGCGCCAGTAAGGACTCGCCTCAAGAAGACCAATATCCCGACTCCTTCATTCAACCTAGTAAGCTTGAAAAAGAGGTTGTTGCTTGCCAACAAACTGATGCTCAAGCCCATAACATCAAGGTACGTATTCCTGCCTTTGTTTGATCTCCAGTTGTTGGTCTTTACTAACGCTGAGCTGAATTCTTTCAATTTCAGACCTCCTGTTCTGATTCCCACACCGCTGCAAATGATGTTCGTAATAGTTCATCATGGGATAGGTGTGATGACACAGGTTTGTTCGCGGCTGCTTGTCGTCATGATGCACCTCTCTACTTTGTCAATATCTATCAGAGTGGTGAAAAGTGAGCTTTCCTTATATGTGCATGTTGAGTAATGAAAGAAGCTCAGGACTGACACATCCTTCTCATATTTAGACTGTATTATCCTGTGGCAATACTCAAAAAGCTTCGAGAATTGTACCCTGACCATTTTATAGGCATACTCTATGACATCGGCTGTCACTTTATGTTGTATTATGATGTTTGATGATCTAGCCTGAGACTCAATAGGCCGCTCGATCGATCGAGCGTATAGATTTTGGTATCTGTTTGGTTTAACTGATTCAATCAGAGATGCTTACCTGTCCCTACCTACCTTTGCAACATCTTCTAGGTAGCCTTTGTTGTTGACACCATGGAAAATAGCAGTTTAGATGAATAAGTTTTTGATTTCATCGGTCGTTGTTCACCATTATGATTTGCTTTGTTCAAGTAAATCACATTGGGGTGCTGTAATAGTCCTCGATCATCTGTTCTTGAGTTCCCAACTTACAGATCATTACCTCTGACAACCTTGTTCCTCAGGTATCTTTGCCTCCGTTCTGATCTTACATTCTGATTATATTTCTGATGCTCTTTTCGGGCTTGCTTGTCTGATTCTGATTTGGTCCAATCTTGATTTTGTCCGATTATATTCTATGGTTTGGTCTGTTCTCTTCTATTGTTTCTTGTGCCAGTCCGATTTCCTTCACATAAATGTAGGCTTTATCTTTATCCATGATTGCTCACATAATCTCAACCTACCTATCTCTACAAAAAGGGATAGGTAAGTTGAGATGAGAAAGGGGTGTAGAAAAGACCACAAAATGTGCACAATTCCACAACTTGCTCAGTTTTTGCCTGATGCTGATGGGCAAATATCAAAAGTTGTTGATAGGAAAATTACAAGGATAGTTTGATAACATCATTTTTGTAAAATCCCAGTTTTTGATGCTCAGGTTGGGGTTTTGATGAGTTTCCCGGGTGGTGTGAAGGCCACAAAATGATCATAACTCACTCAGTTTGTGCCCAATCTTTATGGTCTGAAAATGAGAGTTGTTGGAAATATAATTATAAGGACAGTTTAATATTACCAGTTTTGTATATCATCACTTCTTGATGGTCAAATTGAGGATTTGGTGATATTCTGAGGGACCGTAAATGTCACAAAACGTCCATATCTCACTCAATTTTGGTGCAAACTTGACACTTCCATAATGAAAGTTGTTTGAAATTGAATTTCATTTTCCATTTAATAAGAACTTCCACTCAAAAAATGCCTTCTTCTCACCGCTTTGGCCATTTAAAGTTTTAACACATGTTTTTATATGAGTATATCTCAGCCAAAATTTGTCTGTTGATGTCAGGAGCAGTTCCATTGAATTCCTGAGTGTTTTTTAGGGGGGGTTTATTATTGAAGTTTTAGTCCAAAGTCACTTTGAAATTTCATCAAAATTTTGGCACAAGATTGCATATATCTGCACACTTTACACTTTGTGTTTACCTTGTTGGTAATAAGGACAACTTTTCTCACAACTTCCTCACACAGTGCCCGTGGGCAGCGACCTCGACGTCGAGGTCCCAACTTTCGTGTAGTTTCTCTCACAAGAACAAGTTGTTTGTTACACAAGTGTCTGAGAAACACAAACAAAGGAAGCATCTACTCAGAGCTGAACAATACCAGCCCAACCCTAGCTCAAAGTCGTTCAGCTCATGAGCAAAAACCACGACACCAAGACGAATAGAGTATCATCAGTACTTCATTACCGTCAAACACCTTTGTTTTTCTACGTATGCTATGTAACATGTACTCTGCTTCTGGTCGGTTTCCCTGAGGCTGAAGCTGTGTACTATGTACTACTAGTATTGTTACGTCGATTCAACATGTATCTTCACGAGCAGATACCCAAATAGTGCCTTTCGTGCCTGGTTTCATTCGGTGCTCCCCGAGGTACTCTTGAAGAGGGAAACCTGGGTCTTCCTAGAATGATATGAACAGGAATGGGGGACGTTTCACTGGTTCAACACAATCTCATACCATCAATTAACTCAAACTTAAGAAACCAATCATCAAATTTTAACATATTCGACTCAAATCCAATCAAAAGAAACTCATAATATGCACCATGAATCAAAGCTCGTCTACGGATTGCTGTTTCAAACCCACCTTTTCTTCTTATACCTGGTTTATTTCATTTATCGATTAATTTTGGATCTTATTTAGCTTCAAAACTTCAACGTGAGCTTTTCTTCTCAATCATTCAATCTGCTTATTTTTTCAAAATTTGGAGATATTGGTCTTTGCTTGGTGATTAGCTAAATAACCCAAAAGTATGTCACATCATAAATTATTATTGGGTCTATAGTTTATTTTCAATTGAAACCCGATTTGTGTATATCAAATTTATTCATTCTTATTAAACTCAATCACCACGCCATTTACATTGATATCTAAAGTGATCGCTTTCTCAAATGGAGTCTTTTTAAACGAGTTTTGACTGCGAAGATAGAGGGGATCCTTTGTCTTGACGAAAGGGGGGTCAGAGAGTGTGGGCTCATAGCAATACTTTTTCCGTATCAAAAGATGATACTTTTGGATGAAAATGATGTGTGTTTTCTTCTTTTGAATTCTTCTTTCTTTTGTGCTATAATACCGGAAACGATAAGAGTCAGTGTGTACGGTGAAGAAGCTCGTCGTCCAGTCTGTCATACTTTACCGCTACTGTTGGTGGTGATAGATTGAATCATACTTGTTAAAACATTTTATAAGTTTTGTACATTACTTTGTTTCCTGTTCGTATCCTATCATGTAGTAGATGGCTTGAGGATCCCATTTGAGAATGAAAATGGTAAATCAGAAGACGTGCAGAAGATCAGAATCATCAGTTCTTAAGCTATGCACCTTCTTGAGCTGGGCTGTAAGCTGATGGTAGGAATTCTCAATCGTCAAGAATCAGAGCTAATGTATGTAAAACAAGTAAATACTACTTCAATTGCAATTATACATGTATATTTCTCCGATCATCAATAGCTATACAAACTCATAGAATTAGTAGGCTTCTCAGATTTATAGGGCTCGACGTTTTGTGATTTCAAGCCTCAAAGATTCAGAAGATATCAAAAAGTGGAACAAAAACCAAAAAATAGACTGAAATACTTCCAAGTAGGGGACAAGGTCGAGCTTTAGAATTGGAGGGGACTACTTAAATGATTATGTTTGCGTATGTCCAAAGACAACATCCTGAGATATCAACACATCAACAAATCAGCTCTGAGCTCATGCGGACTAGGAATTGAAGTTGGTACTGACTAAGTTCCTCAGGCTGACAATCGAAACAGTCGCTTGAAGTATACCTAAGCTCCCTTCCTTGTTTTTCTTGAGTGCTATATGGCCAATGATATTTTGACTATCAATCACCTGTGGTTCCTCTGTTTGGTCATACACTATTGTGGCGTATAGCTTGGGATGGTTTTTATAAAAGTTCTTGGGTAAGTCTGTTGAGCTCAACGGGGCAAAGGGTGCTACTGAAACGAATGTTGTTGGGATGATAGCTGTACGAAAGTGAGAAATAACATATCCAAAACGATGCTCGCCACAGAGCTCATACTCAATCATACTGTTACCTTCATGAACGGTGTGAACGCTAAAAGTTTTTCCAAGAAGTCGAAGCCGCTTGATGGTTTGAGCTGAATTTGGAAGTCTCTGACTTGATGGAGTAGTGTCATTGTCGAGGTTTGTGAAGTGGCCGTACCTCCCATCTAGGTTACAATTCAAGTATTCCACCCAGCTCTTGTATGTACTCGCATCTAAAGGTTTCTCTACCGTCCACTTTTCATGGGGCGTCCCTGAAAGTCTTTCGATAACTTGAGCCTTGATTGATTGATTGGCTTGACTGAGAAAATTAGGTGCCCTGTCTATCACCGCCTGAAAAAAGCCTCGACGAATGAAAGATGTACACATCGTCTTGTCCAAATTGTCTGTCACGAAATAAGATTTCAGTGATATTCGCGCTAAGGTGTTGAATGTTATGGTACTTACTCAAGTGATAGTTCTTGGGCAGATTAATCAATACACCATTCATTCGTTCCCCTGCCCAACTTGCTGTGTAAGTAGGAGGGCCAAGAAGGCTTGCAATTCGTGGTATATGTTGTGCAATATGAAGATTGGTCTTCACACTGACATCCGGCCAGTGCAACTGTATGTGTGTGCGGTAGTTTTTCAAAGTAGATGCTAACTGAACCCCATCATCGTGGCTGAATTTTCGAGACGCAGTTATATTGGCGATCTCACAAGCCTCTATTATACTTTGACACATTGCTTGGTGATTTAGATTTTCGGAGTGATATTTATCAGGGATGGTAGAAAGAACCATGTATACGGTGTATATCGAGAACCATTCGGAAGCCTTAGGTGTTCCGGCACTCTTCATCCCTACGTTCTTTGGTGGGCGCGTCATCCATGTTGGAGTGACCACACGATCAATTGTTTCTTGTAAGTCAGCAAGGTCAGATAATGTAAATTTCAAGGGAGTTGCTATGTGATTGATACGCTGAGAGGGTGGTTCACATTCATTTGCTGCCATGTTATTTTGTAGCTTAGCACTTCTCTTGTAAGGAACTCGCTGATGCGGACCCCGAATGGTGGAGGCGGAATCTGATCCACTGTTGGGATTTGAATTTTCTTGGTTGACTCTTCGCTGACGGATGACCTTTTTCTTGACCGGGCCAGTGCTAGTGCCAGTGTTTGCTCTGGATGCCAGGCGCATAGACCTCCTGGGTTTTAACTGGGTCGGGACTGATTGATTTTCACCATCAGAGGCAATCTGGAGTTCAGAGTCGCTATACGTAGCAGGAATAGCTGTCCTGCTTCGTTTTATAACATCAAGCCTGTTTGTCGAGTTCCACGAAGACATGTTACGCTTTCTGAGAATTGGAATCCAGTCAGTATCCTGGCTATGAAGGCAGCGCTTATTAACTTACTGAGTTGATCCGCGTATATTTTCAGTGATGGTTGAATCAGAACCTACTGAGATGGATGCCTCGTAACCGCCATCTACTGAAGACTCTCTTTGAGTTGTCGATATGGAAGATCTCGATGTGGAAGCGGATAGCTCTGGATCAGCAAGAGCTGACAAGATTTGGTGACCGTCTCTGGAAATTGGATTGACCGGGGTATTTTCTGTGCATTCTTGACTATCAGAAGGGCCAGGAGAACATCGAGCTTTCAAAGCAGCAGACGCGTGCATTGCCTTCAATTTGTCTCCAGCCTCTATCATCCCAAGACAAGAAGTCGCGTGGTCTGACAGCATTCCTAAGAGGATACAATGCATTACGTCGACGGTGATAAAATCTATAGGCTGCCAATACGGTAGCTCGGAAAGAACAGTCCATCGCAGGCCGAAATTGCGAAAGATCTTGTTTTGCTGTCCGAGGGATGTCGCGTTCTGCCATTCATTCGAATGCTGCTGATGATTCAGCCTTTCAGGCCATTTTTCAATATCGAGTTTGGTGAGATCCGCTCTCAATAGTGCACAGTGTGCGCAGAACATCGTAGCTGAGTGCCCAGCTAAACCAGTCACCTTTCTCATAGCAGGAAGGTCAGCCATTATTGGCCAAATTGCCGCCCGTATTACACGGCCGTTTTGGTGCCTTTGAGTTGATGTAAAGAAGATTCCGCTCCATAATTATTGGAACTGAGATACCAAAGGCTTCAAGAGATGGTTGATTTGTTCCAACTTAGGTTCGTGTGGACCGGGAATTATTGCAAACAGGAAGGTATATTCCGCTTTGTATCGCATGTTGGGTGGTAGATTGAGGCAAATCAAAAGGAGGGTTCCACTGGAGATATGTCGTTTGGCTGATCGTCCGTGGGGGTTGAACCAGTCGCAGTAGAGTCCAAAAACCAGATTACCACTGGTCAATGTGTAGGGTTTGTCTTGATCTCCAAACGTCTTCCAGATTTCGCCATCCCATATATCGGTCATGGTTGAAGCATCAGAAGGCTGTGATCGTAGAAGAGGCGCATCAAGTGAGTCCTCAAAGCCAGGCAAGAACATCATCTTCGCCAACCATGTTTTGAGTGACTGGTAGTGAAAAAGACGGAGCGCCTTTGGTTTCGAGTCAGTTGTGTAAAGTCGTGTGTTACATTTGCTGCGAAGAACCTTTTTAAGTTCTTGTTTCAATTGAGTCGGGTCTTTCAGAAATCGCATTGCATCACAGTGCAGCTTGACGTTTGGCTGTTCTTCAGTGACTGCTGTCCCATGAATAGCAAAACATTCAGGGCAGCAGACCTCGGAAGCTAGATCGACGTCCAGATTAAGCATTTCGTATAACTTTGGAACGGTTGTTGGGATACCTTCCCAGTACCTATGGCCATTATGATTGTTCTCGATTGCGCACTGACGAGCCTGTAATTTAGCCATATGTAGTGCTGACCGGCTTGAACGCTCGCTTGCACCTCTTAATATACTGGACTGGGCGATTTGCAAAAGTGAGATCATTATGGAGGGACGAAGAAGATAGACCTCCTGCATTCGAAAAGCATCGGTACAGAATTTGCTCAAGTGTGAGATTTCGTGGTGACAGGGAGGTTCATCTTGCACATTATCAACCTCGAAAGTGCTTCCTCGACGGCCTCGGCGGTCACGAGAAGACAGGACAAGATCATCATGATAAAGATGATGATTCGTTAAGTTTGTTGAACGACGTATTTGCGGCGTTATATCGCCAGTGCTTAAGGACCTTCGGCGGGCCTGAAGACATTTCCAAATTCCAATCAATTCACAGCTTGATATTTGGTTGCTGATGCATTGAATGTGAATTTTGAGCTTACGTATGATGGTTTTCCTTGGATCCCAATCCTACCAGCGTTTGGTCCCGTACTACTGATACCACGTACATCAGTAGAGTGACCAAGTCTTCCGCGAGAACTAAGACTACTACTGTCGCTAAAATGACGGGGTGGTTGTTGACGAAGCCTGCGAACTTGTAAGTCGTGAATCCTTCCGTTGGTAAGGTTCCTTGCTTTTCCTGAATACGTTACACCTTCGTATTTAAATTTTTCGGCTGAGCACTTCAGCTCAGTACAAGTACACACCAGTAGGGAACCCAATGTGTACGATGAATCCATTAAGATGTTGATCGAATAGGTCTGTAAGCATATGTTGAGATAGTTGGGGAGTGCGTGGATCACGAAGAGTCAAGACAGATTAGTTGAATGAAATGAACAACATACAAATAGTCAAATGGTCTCCTAATGTGTGACAAAGGGAACTGATAAAACCGATGTCGGGCTGCTAGCTACATAGGCTCTGTACAGCTCTGTACTACCGGCTACATACTTTCCTCAATATTCTGTGGTCAAGTCATAGGTACAGATCCATTTAAGCTTCATAGTGTGTGATCTACAAAGGGCTGATTAAAGGTCTGTCAGAATTTAAAATACAATTTCATTTGGACATGTTTTGATCTTCCTCCTCAACAAAATGATTGGAGTGAGAACTTAGAAGTAATCAAAAATATATCACGAGTTTAGGATGAGGTTACAAGGGTGTCTTTTGGTGCTACATGTCTTGTCACAGTGCCCGTTGGATGCGACCTCGACGTCGAGGTCACGACGTTGTCTTCTACTCGACAATTTTCTTTTTTAAAGATGCATTTTAGGTCCTTGACTCTTCATTATCTATGAAGTATTTGCTCGAGTGGGGGTGAAGGTTTCTGGTCATGTCTTGATCATCCAGCAGAAAAAACGAAGTTGGTCGTCAACTTGCAAAGGTGGCAACTTTAACAAATGATGTTCATTGATGATACAACTCACATAGCATAGCGCAGGCTTCTAAGGAGATTGTAGGCAACTTGAAAAAAATATAAAGAATCAAATTTGTATTCACAAGGAAAAAGAAACACACTAAGCAAGAGTAGAAGACAAGATTGAAAATTTATATAAATCAAAATATATACAAAGAAAAAGTGACTGGGAAAGAGTGATAGCCTTGAGATTCAACGTAAGAGAGTGCGAGTGTAAAGATAGTATATGCACCTCTTTATGCAGTTCCGGACTATATGAGAATTAACCTCTTGCTAAGCACTCCAACGCCTTTGGTAACCGCTGACAGAAGGACACAATCGAAAATGAAGTGTTCCTTGCGCCACACCCTCAACATTCTCAATAATATCCTTCATAAACTCATCAATTTTCTCTTTGCAGTTGCATAAGACACAAGCGTTTGGATATGAACCTGTGTAGTTGAAGGCAAAAGGGATATCAGCTTTAGAAACTTAGAAAACATACATGGACCATGAATAAAGAAGTGTAACAGACCATTTGGCTGCTGAATGAAAACTTCGACTTGTGGAGGTTCGGGAGACGATCTTACAACATCAAATGCACCGTCTACCACGACATCAGGAAAGTCTATTTGTCGGAAATCATTTCACTATCAGATTCATCTTTGGAGATACTGTTCTCAAATTTATAAAGAAGTTCAACATACCATTTGGCTGCTCAAAGAAAACTTCCACTTGTGGAGGTCCAGGAGCCGATCTTACAGCATCAAATGCACTGTCTACCATCACATCAGGAGGGTCTATAATCATGGCGTGATCAGATAGGTTGTCGGAAAGCATATAACTATCAGATTCATCTTCGGAGATACTGTTCTCAGATTCGTCCTCGGAAGTCATATTGGTTGCAGATTCGTAGTCAGGGGTCATATTGTTCTCAAATTCGTCCTCAGAGATCATATCGGTTTCAGATTCATCATCAGAAGTCGTATTGTTATCAGACTCGCTGGCGGAATTATTGATTTGTGGACGTTTATGAATTGGTGCCACTGTGACTAAATAAAACATGCAAGGTCAGTGAGCGCATATTCACACACATATTAACATGCGATCAGGGGAAGAATCCTGACGTACCTTTAGGTTTCTCATCAAACTCTTCGACTGCCTGGCGCTCTAGCGAGGCGCTTCCAGGCTCAATTAGCCTCCCTGCTTCCAAGATAGGCTCAGGCGTGTTCGGATCAGCAAGCGTTGGAAAGTATTCGATTTGGTCATGGTGTGACTCGTTCGCCTGGTCTGCCATTGGCATGGCCTCAGATGCGATCACATAAGGCGGAGCCGAGAGGGACGGAGCAGGGTAAGGATCAGCTGGACTCATTGTATGGGTGAGCTTGTGACTGATCGTGATTGAGATGTTGCTTGAAAGCCCTTCAGAAGTTCCAAACATTGAAGTCGGATTCATAGTGGAAATAGTGGCTGTGTTAAGTTGGCTTGTGGTCGTGGCGCTATGCATGTCATCATATGACACCGAGCTCATAATTTCCGCGCTACTTGATATGCCAAAGGTATTGCAAATCGGGAAGTCGATGGTGAATTCATAAGCTGATTGAGTTGAGGAGGTATATTGTGATTGATGCCTGCGACCTCGACGAGCCTCCATTATCTTTTTTAGAAAAATACAGAGTCAGTTCAAGATATGACCACGATCTGAAGGCCACCAACGTACAAGCCCATTGTGTTGCCTTCGATATGCGTTTCTTGAGAGAGCGAAAGAGATTGGTGAAGGCCGTCATTCTTGAAATGATATGTCAGAACTAACTCAAAGCTAGAGAAAATGATGAAAAGCAATAGAAAATATCACAAAAAATTGGTAGGGTACAGGAGGGTAAAGGATGCAACACAGAGGAGAAAGGCTCTAGAAAAATACGTGAATCAATAAGAAATATGATGAAGAGAGTGATGAACGGCTTGTGCAAGAGTGGAGAAGAGAAGAGGGAGAAGGCAAATATATATGAAGAAAATCGACGACGTGATTTTTGACCCTCAGAGGGCTTTGTACTTAGCTTGTGCATCAAGAGCAGAAACGATCAAAGGGAGGTCTTACTGAATCTCGACCAGTGAGAGAAAAACAGATGGATGAAAGATACGGTGAAGATAACGGCCACGATTCTTAAAGGCAAACAGTCACTATTTCAAAAAAAGAAGAATCTTTCGGACAAGGTTCAGATTGTGAAAGGGTAATTACCAGTGATAATGGAAGAACTACGAGCACTAGGGATGGATTCTACAATGGAAGAAAGAAAGATTTGTAGATTCTCCAATCGATATGTAAAAAAAAGAAAAGAATATGCAAAAGATCGAACTGAAAATGTGAGGACTATGGGATATACATAGGGTCCAAAAACGGGAGCCGTACAAGGGGGAGACTATTTGGTACCATTGCTAATTTACAGCTCACATCTTTGTTTGGATTGCGCCTGAGTAAGCACCCGAGCACCGGCTGATGTCATCCGCCCGGCAGCCATGTTTCTCAGAGTTTTTTGAACGGTTCAAGAGTTCTATCTATGATGTTCTCTCAAAGCTATTGTAGTAGCTTGTACACACACTTGAATGCAAGTTTATGATCAAGATATCCTCGAGAGAAGTAAAAACAAATTAGAAAAAGGTGTTTTTCTTGAGGTTTATGACATATTGAAGTGTTATTTTACTTTCCTTCATGCCAAAGAGTATATGTATAGAACTCATTGACTTGACGACGTGAAGGTACATATAAGAGTCATTTTTTGTAAAAATCATTCATGTTTTACATTATTATAGTTGGTCATAAGACATCTCACAATTAGATTGTTTGGATCAAAAGTGCATGAGTTATCCCAATTAAAATTCAAAAAAGATCTAGTTTTCGAAAGAGCCTCTCAAAGATTTTGAAGAGATCTATATAACAATCATCACTGACCATAGTTTTTGAGATCTTTCAACTCCATGAACACTTCGGCTAGTCTGTCTTCACTTTTCTTTTCTTTATTGAAATGGCTAATTATTAATCTCTAATGCAGTTTCGGCCACATCTTTCCTCTGAGGCAAGTCACAGTATGCTCTACACATATCAAGCGAGTTGATGCATGGCTACTATACCGGATCACTTATTTTTAGTCGTAAACATGATTTCCAAATCCATTGAGGCACATTAGATTGTCTTGACCTTTGGTCTCAAAACCACACCGTACAGAGAGGCTCAACAGGGCGATTACAGACGTGATGAAAACAGAAACTTCAGATTGTATGAGTAAAATTTTGAGTAAAGAGATATCTGGTTGTGTACACAGCAGCGGCCAAACGGAAACTTCAAATTGTACGAGTTAAATTTTGAATAAAGCGATCTCTGGTTATATACACAGCAGCGACCAAGATGAGCAGAGAAAATTACATGTATTGATAAATTGCCGAGCTCAGTTCTTAAAATGCATGAGAACTTTCGTTATACGTTCAAAGTGAATATGCATTTCTTCCAACAGACCCTCCATAATTTGATGACAGCTGCATTTCGAAGCTGAATGTGAATGTACAAGACATCAATTGAGGATTTCCATTTGGTAGACCGAGTTTGAGGGGATACTTACAATCACGATCAGAGGTGTTCTCGTATGAGTCGCGCGATGAGGTGGGAGATGGCTGTCCATGATAGTCGGTAGGAGAAGTGGCTGATGTGGGAGCAATTGAAGGAGTCAGGAACTTGAGGGCCGGATCAATGGATTCCTCAACACCCCCAAAGACTGGCCTAGACAAAAGACCACGATTTGAGCCGCGCAATGAGGTGGGAGATGGCTGTCCAGGATAGTCGGTAGGAGAAGTGGCTGATGTGGGAGCAATTGAAGGAGTCAGGAACTTGAGGGCCGGATCAATGGATTCCTCAACACCCCCAAAGACTGGACTAGACAAAAGACCGCGATTATTGTCGGTAGGAGGAGTGGCTAATGTGGGAGCAATTGGAGGAGTCAGGATCTTGAGGGCCGGATCAATGGATTCCTCAACACCCCCGAAGACTGGACTGGTCAAAAGACTGTGGCTGTCCGTGGGTTGATTGATATCTGGGGTGTTGAGGATGCTTCTCTTTCGATTTCGATTGTAAGGGCTCTCTTTGACTAAAAGTAAACACGTCATTTGGGGAAAAAGTCACATATCTTGATGGAGGTTGCATACCTTGAGACCCAAACTCGAGAGCATCTAATACCGGTCTCCTTACACGATTGATGCCAGGTTTAGAATTGGATGGATGAATTGAGAAGATCTGGCTGCCGTTGTCTTCGATCCTGTGTTGCTTGGTTGGCCGGACTACAACAAAAAGGTTGGTTATTGAAGTGCAATCCACATATGTGGCACCAAACTCACGGTCAAAACCCTCAACAATAGAAAGAGATCTACGCCTTTTTAAAGTAGGACTACGAGCTTCATCTGTAGTCACGAATTCGAAAGTTGTTTGTTGTTTGGGAAGTGTGAGAAAAACAGAGACACACATTGAGATTCAAAAAGTGGAATGTCAGCGTTAGAGTACATACTATGCCGCTTAAGAGTTCGAAGTCTGTCAAGTTTGAATCACCTTCTTGAAACATATATATTCCAGCTGGTGGTGACTCCAACATAAGGAACCGGTGCTGTGAGAAGGTGTCCGTAGAGCTATGATCAGACATGACCTCAGACCAATCGGCGGTGTCCATGGTGGCTGATAATGTGTAAATCAACAATCGTAAATCAAAATTAAAGCAGTGAAACATCAAGAACTTACCATTGAGCTCATTTTTAAACTCGGACCACTTGACTGGGTCTGATAGACTGTCGCTTATTGACTGACTATCAGTATTTTGAAACCTAGTCTTTGCGTGTTTTGCTGGGAATTTATTGCTTGTGTCGGTGACTACAGAAAATAACGGAGGCATAAGAACTTCAACACTTCATTTGGAACACCTCAAATGAACAAACCTCCAGAGATGGCGGAGAGGCGTCTTTTGAGACTCGATGAGGTCAATTGGGAACTTGAAGCGGCAATACCTTTGATTAAAAGTCAATCAATTAGTATTCTTTTTGAATGATAATCACATCAGATCTTACAATTGTGAGATGGCTGGGTCATTCTTGTCACTCCCTCATTTAAAATTGAGCCACTACTAGTGTCAAAATTAACATCAGCGAGTGACATCTTTGGAATACAGCTAGGTCGACCAGAGCGATGCGGAATTCGAGAATATACACGGCGCCCATGGTAACTGCCTACGATTTTTGACATGTTAATCAAATAGATAGTTGTTGGACTGTGATTAAATGACAATAAATTGAGAGCTAAAACAAGCAAGAACGAGTTCGCCGGGCTTTGAACGTTGGATATATCCTACTTGTGGAACATGGAGAAAGTTGTTAGGAAGCGTGTAGATGCGATGTTTAAATACAAAAGAATCACACATACCAAGCTCTCTGCCTTGCGATGGTGGTTCAGCAAGAATGTCATGTTGTTTGCGAGGAAGTCGACCGAGATTCGCAGAACAAAGGTCATCATTTGCCCTTCTTGAGTGAACCAGGGACTTGCGGAGTTGTGATTTGCCAATGGGAAAAGGGCCTGCATGCTGATCTCCCACAAGAATGGGCATCAGAATAAAGTCAAGACTGGACAAGAGAAAAGAAGAGAAGGTTGTAAGGGTGAATGACCGTTATTGTAGGTTAGTGTTAGAGGAGTTGAGCGTCTTTGCCACGGTTAGAGTGTGTCTGTGCAGCCCATGTTGAATACAGTGTAGATATGTAGAGAGCAACGGTTTATTCAAAGGGGACTGATGCTAGAATTGTAAGTATCATGCAGGGCTTATGGAAATGATGGACGAATTCAACCTCCACTCATCTGTAGTGGGATTTGAGAGGATTTGAGACGTTTAGAATGTAGAGCTTGTGTTTATGCTGAAGACGTGTTCGAGGATGCTTTGGGGCTGGGCTGAGATCGGGGTTGTGGTAAATACTTTGGCTTGACACCGAAGGACCGGCTATTTCACGGCCCCGCGGGGTGTACGGGGGGCTTTTCGGGTCTTGGCAGTTGTGTCACATCAAATTTGATGTGATCCCCGAGTATAGTTTAAATATGAGATATAAGGGTACATATTTAAATTGATTATATAACGGTATTGGGCTCAATTATTAATTTTGAATGAGAGTGATGTATGTATATGGTATATGAGATATAAGGGTACACTTTTAAATTGATGTAAAGGTATTGAGCTCACTCTCAATTCATGTTCTCAAGTACCCTTATACGTATATTATTTCATTAATTTAATATACACCACTCAAATTCATCACACTTACTACCCTTATATATATATTTAAAGTAATCCCATTTCAAAACATAAAATTCACCATACCCTTATACTCATTTCATTAATTTGTTATACACCACTCAAATTCACCATACCCCTCATTTCATTAATTTGATATACACCACTCAAATTCACCATACCCTTATACGTATATTATTTCATTAATTTAATATACACCACTCAAATTCATCACACTTACTACCCTTATATATATATTTAAAGTTATCCCATTTCAAAACATAAAATTCACCATACCCTTATACTCATTTCATTAATTTGATATACACCACTCAAATTCACCATACCCTTATACGTATATTATTTCATTAATTTAATATACACCACTCAAATTCATCACACTTACTACCCTTATATATATATTTAAAGTTATCCCATTTCAAAACATAAAATTCATCATCCCTTATATTCATTTTCATTTTACACAACTCCACTACTCACCTCTGAACGATGAAACTCAAAATTCATCCTACCAAAGGTATTTTGGGCTAAATCCAGTATTCTGCCCTTATCAATTGATTAATTTTCGAAACACAAAATTCATCATCCCTCTCATCAAAATCAATTCTACACAACTCCACTACTCACCTCTGAATGCATCACATTACCCTTACACACACTCTAGTCTCTACCCTCTGAATTTCAAAACTCAGGTCATACCAGTAAAGGTATTACTAAATTCAGTACTCAAGATTCATTCCCGTACCCTTATTAATTATTCCCGTACCATTATTAATTTAATAGATGCGCTCCACCACTGAAAATTCATTTCACTGCCCTTACATGTATATTCAGAATCCATTCCATCACCCTTATATTGATTCAATACACACATACATACACTTCACCACTCAATTCTAGATTTTGAAATTTCATACACACACTCAGCCACTCACCTCTGAATCAAAAACTCAAAGTTCATTCCAGCTAAATCCAGTACTCCAAATTCACTTACCCTTATATTAATTTAATACATACCCCGAACAATAAAAATCATATCCATCGTGCTTATAATTACATTCAAAATTCATCCCATAACCCTCATTTTGATCCAATACACACATACATACACTTCACCACTCAAGTCTGGATTTCAAAACTCAAATATCCTTATATTAATTTAATTACATGCACTCCACCACTCAAAATTCATCCCAATACATACGCTTCACCACTCAAGTCTAGATTTCAAAACTCAAATACTCATTGCAGTACATACATACTCTTTATGTTTTTCATACACACACCACTCACCTCTGAACTTCGAAACTCAAAGTTCATCCCCGCTAAATCCAGTCCTCGAAATTCACTTACCTTTATATTAATTCAATACAGAACTCCACCAAAATTCATTTCGAGTGGCCTTGTATACATATTCAAAATTCATCCCATTACCTTCATATCAATCAACTATGTATGTACACACATACATACAACTTCACCACCCAAATCTGGTTTTTGAAACTCAAAATTCATTTTAGTACCCGGTATATCGATTATACACACACTCTACCACTCACCTCTGACTGCCAAACCCAAAGTTAATTCCACCAATCAAATATAAATTTTGAAACCCAAAGTCTATTCCAGCAAACGTATTGGGGCAAATTCAGATGTACATACACTCACAGTTTATCCCAGTACCCTATCACCGTAGGAATGGACAGTGCAGTCTTGACCAGCCTTGACCGGGTGCTCAAATTAAACATCCTTCCGCCTTACCTTAACTTTTTCTTCCTATCTAACCTCTTCTTTTTACATTCCCATTCATATAGATAATAGTTGGTCATTCCAAACGTGAGCCGTCCGTGCCCCCTCAAGCCACTAAGCTTTTTGAATTCTTATGAGACATCCTCAACAGACATCAACTCACATATTTCTCACTCAGGCACCTCAACAACGCTCAAAATAGTGGCAATACTCCAATCTCAAGCATGGATCCAGGATTACTACCTTAAACCAATCAACGCACAATTTGCAATCACGCCAGCTTGTTACCACTTTCCATCAACAATATCTCATTCAAATTTATAACTGTATTCAACCGTAACAACTCTGATCAATTTTGTCCCCCCCTTTTACTCTCGTAGATTTCTTGCGAAGAACCAAACACAAGAACTGTATTCAACCGTACCTAATAGTCGTGATTGCTAGAAGGCTTTTTTGCTTTTTCCTTCATGTGCGTTTTCCTTCAAAAGTGTTGTCCAAGTAAGACATAAAAAGGGAACGTATTCTCTTTTGAACATCCACATAGGGCTGACCTTATCGATCTTCTGTGTAGACTTTTCCCGCCGCCGATCAACAAAGACAACCGTTTCTTTCCAATCCCCTCAAACTATTCCGCCAGTGATCAGTTCAAGTTCAACCAACGTCCATCAAGCAAAACAACCATATGTCATTTTCCTTTCTCTCAGAGTGTCCAACTCGCGACTCTTGCTCCCGTTCATCAACAATCACATCTGTTCTTCCAAGTTTCTTTATGCCTTTAAGAAACTGCCAAAAACCTCCGCGGATTTAATGTAGCATGTTTGAAAAATCTAAGATGCAAACCGAAGATGTAAACAATTGTCAGAAGGTCAAGCTTTACGAGTCTTCCATATTTAAGACCTTCGAAGTGACTCGGAAAACTCAAAACTGCTTGCTCCACATCACCCAGCCTTGACCATAATTCACTCAAAATCACAATCAAATTGACTCATCTAGCTCTTTGAGGTGCATCGTGCTGTATAACGTATGTAGTCCAGTGTTTTAAGGTGTAAGCTGTGTCTTTGACGATTTTTCAACTGACCTTGACTCATTCTCGTTCCCCATGTTAGTTCAAACAGATCATGTCTATCAAAATTTATGGAAACCTCACCGTTACCGGAAACCTTTCCGTCTCTGCCGTCTCTTCTTGTTCAAGCGGTAATTCCAGTCACAGCGCCCCGGTGACAGCTATCGATTCTAATGACCCTCAACCAGCAGAGAACATATTGGTAGAAAATCCACCTGGGCAGGACCGTTCAACACCGGTAGCTCAACCATCAAGAGATGATCCTGGCACCCCGCGTCGCGCATCACCCAGAAACCATCCTGATTCTCCCCGTCGTCGATCACCCCGAAACCATCCTGGTACCCCACGCCGTCGATCATCTAGAATCGCCAGAATTGCCGAGTTCAGGTACCGACCAATGCGCTTACAAAGACGTCCACTTCCCGCTGCTTATGAGAATCACGACGTCTGGACCAAAATACGGACCTTACCAGTCAACCTTCTCCCATACCTCTCGCCTGGATGGCTGCCACATTGGACCACTCGAGATCTTCTTCGACAGATCATCTGGCACTTTGAACCAAGGCAGCGCATCCCCTGCCGCACTCTCAAAGCAGAAATTATTGACCTCTTTGAATATCTTGTTGTCAATCAGTACGGTGCATACTATGGAATATAAGAGGTTCAAAATTTGTTCATATTCTTCTGATCTCCCAGTCACTTACAATTTCCTTGTCATTATAGATTATAAAGATTCTATTTCCATCTTTTCAATTTCATTGTTTCTCTCTTTCTGTGTGTGGTGTCTACACATCAGAAACAAACAAAGGTCACCCCACCTTTGATTATACTTGTATATAATTTGGCCCGAGCAGTTATTTTCATTTCTTGTTTCTTTCATCTACGTTCTCTAAGAATTATAAAACGTGTCTGCACTGAAGCCCAAGAACAACTTGATTACGCATGTACATATTTTGCACTCAGTTAGTTTCTTGTTTTTTTTTCTTTCTGGTTTTTTGGAGTCTGTGTCCTCTACCAATTATAAACAATGTCGCTTTGTCTCAAAACTGCTGAAAGCCCCAGAACCACTTTCGCCTCCCCTAAGAAATCCTCAACACCATTGGTGTTTTATGTTACATTATAAGATTGAACATGAAAATTCATTTAAATCAGTGAATCATGAGGTAGAAAAAACTGTCTTATCCTCAGTCTTGGCAGCCCGCCAGATGAGCCTTGTACGGGTGAATCTACACATAAGTACATCACAGCTAGCTTAACACAAGCCTCACCAAACAGTTATATCCCTCGAAACTTGCGGAGGTCATCCTACAGAGGTTGCTTCTGTTTAAATTCTTCACTACGTCCGTCTCCCCTTGTAGAGTTGCCCCCACATAACAATCCTTCACAGCTATTTGCCAGCTTGTTGCATCCTTCATCCGAGAACACATCTGATCATGACTGTCAGTATTTACAGAAACTCAGTCTCACTATTGGAAATACTCAATTGATGTGTGTATCCTGTACGTTCACATCCAGCTAGACAAGGCATCACAGCTCCCTCATGCTTTGGTTAATTTTGATATCCTGGCGGCAACTCTGGACACAGGAGCTCGGCTGGCTTTTTCAAAAACACGTTCCCCGGATTACATGTACCATTTGGGTTTTGAGCCAGTAAGTGCCGCTGTCTTTCTTGGGTTTCAACAGTCAAATAAGTCGCTCAGAGTTGTAACCCCCTTTTGTTTGTCTCCTTTTTCAATATTACAGACCAAGATCTTACGGTTATTTTCTTCAAATACAACAAGGGGATATAAAAGGGGAAGACATTGCTTCCATATCAAGCCAACGACATATAACTATATATATTAAGGCTAGGTCAAATGGGGCATGTCGTCTTTTCCTCTTAACAGCCAAGGTAATTGTGACTCTACCCCTCACGCAACGCAAACTCAATCAGAAATATCCAACTTGTCGCTCCAGTTGAATCACCTCAGACGGTTTCTTGCACACTCAACCTCATGTCCAATCAACGAACTGATCTCTTAGATCCCTTTTCCCAAGAAGGTGAGTAATCTTGATCAGTTGACCAATACATGTGTTTGTACCAGAAATTCAATCTCTGTGTTAATATCTATCACGGTCTAGATCTCCACGATCGTGATCAAATTCTTCCTGATCTGGATGAACTGGACAACTATTACTCCAGCGAGCTGGAAAACCAGTACAATTCTAGTGACGATTTGATGGATATGGAGCCACCATCACCTAATTCACAAATGGATCTGTCCGACGATGAAGACTGTAATTCATCACCTAATTCACAAATGGATCTGTCCGACGATGAAGACTGTACACCATCACCTAATTCACAAATGGATCTGTCCGACGATGAAGACTGTAATTCATCACCTAATTCACAAATGGATCTGTCCGACGATGAAGACTGTACACCATCACCTAATTCACAAATGGATCTGTCCGACGATGAAGACTGTAATTCATCACCTAATTCACAAATGGATCTATCCGACGGTGAAGACTGTACACCATCACCTAATTCTCAAATGGAACTATCTGACAATGGAGACCGTATGTTTGCACCACAATGGATATTTGACTCAGACTGATTGGTGTTTCTTCTCATCTTACCTTCTCTCTGAGCCCTCCAGGTATGATCTCCTCACCATCATCTGCTAAAATTCTGAGTTGTAATCCAAAGACTTCAGCTAGTCACAAAGATGATCCAAGTAAGCCCTCTGATTAGCTTACAAATACATCTCAGGGATGTTGAGATTGATGATTTGGCTTCAGCTCCAACAGACAGCACCTTTTCACCATCAGACCATGTCAGATGCAATAGGGCAGTGGCACCCTCCCTGTCGTACTCAGATAGGGTTCTCCGCGAGACAGTTCAGGATCCAACGCATGTGAGTCCCGATTTCATAGTTGATCAACATGTCATGTGTAGAGTGAATCATCGAAGCTGTTTGGTAGACACCTGTCTTAAGACATCGCACCGCCACAGATGGTCGTCCTATCGCTACCAAAAAGAAGCTTCAAAGTAGGCAGTCACAACTTGGTCAGTGGGTCTTCCTCCAACCGTCTGGATGATAAGATGACTGACACTATCCCCTCCCCTGCCTCATATATTAGATATGATTTCTGAGGAGGGTGAAGGAGATGTTGGAGATTCTAACAACGCCATCCTGAAATGTGGGTAATTCTACTTGATCTTACAGATTGAGTGATGTGTTTACATCAGAATGATTTTTAATTTCTAAACAGCTCCTCGTGGAGGACAACTAGAATTGTCAACTCAGTGGCTTAAGGAGCGTTCTTTTACTTTTGAGATGAATGCACGCCCAACTCCATCTTCTGCGTCTTTAAAGAGAAATCTATCTCAATTACAGGAAACACACTCCATTTTGAGACGCTCTAAATGCGAGAAGGATCAACTAAAACACTTGGAATCGCCACCTTCCTCTCGAAGACGTCATCACTCGCCTGTTTGGTCGCACATTACCCAATCAGAATCCGCTGATCAAGTTGATCAGTCAGATCTTATAGGTACAGAGACAAAATCCGAGATGAAGCTACTTGACCACTCGGACTTGCCATCCACCTCTCAAAGTTCTCATCACTCACCTCTTCATTCGCACAATACTCAATCAGAATATGTGGATCAAGTTTCTCCGTTGGATTTCACAAGCGCCAAGAAAAAATCCAATCAAACCAACTCTGAAGAAAACCAACTTCAAGAGTTGGAAATGCCACCCAACTCTCGAACTCGTAATCACTCACCTGTTCAGTCGGACAACCAACCTGCGGATGCAGAACATTCTGACCAGTCGGATTCTGAAGGTGCAGCAAACTTTCTTGATCAAACTAAAACTGAGAATACCCGCCTTGAAAATTTTGAATTGACACCCACCTCTCTAGGATGGGATCACACACAAATTCAACCGCGTAATACTCAATCAGAACATGTAGATCACGTTGATCAATCGGATTTTATTGGCGCAGAGACTGTTCAGGACCCAACGCATGTGAGTTTTCATTTCAAAGTCGATCAACATGTCATGTGTAGAGTGAATCATCGAGGCTGTTTGGTAGACACCTGTCTCAAGACATCGCACCGCCACAGATGGTCGTCCTATCGCTACCAAAAAGAAGCTTCAAAGTAGGCAGTCACAACTTGGTCAGTGGGTCTTCCTCCAACCGTCTGGATGATAAGATGACTGACACTATCCCCTCCCCTGCCTCATATATTAGATATGATTCCTGAGGAGGATGAAGGTGATGTCGGAGATTCTAACAACGGCATCCTGAAATGTGGGTAATTCTAATTGATCTTACAGATTGAGTAATGTGTTTACATCAGAATGATTTTGATATCTAAACAGCTCCCTGTGGAGGACAACTAGAATCGTCAACTCAGTGGCTTAAGGACCGTTCTTTCAGTTTTGAAATGAATGCACACCCAAACCCGTCTTTGAGGTCTTTAAAGAGAAATCTATCACAATTACAGGAAACAAATTCTATTCTGAGAGGCTCTAAATCGGCGAAGCATCAGCTCGAATCCTTGGAATGGCCACCCACCTCTCGAAGACGTCATCACCCACCTGTTCAGTCGCACGATTCTCAATCAGAATACGCCAATCGATTTGATCAGTCAGATTCTATACGCCACGAGGGAGAAGGTATGTTCAAATTTCTGTATGCTTATCTAGCGGGGACTCAATGTATATCTCTCATATACAATTGGAACATAATTTGCTCTTCAGGGACTTTAGAACGCAGGTGGTCCCAAAAGTTGGGACAACCTTTTTATGCGTTGAGACGCTCAGACTCTTCCCTACATCAACATGAACATCCAGAACTTTCAAATACCTCTCAAAAACGTGGCCAATCACCAGCTAGGGCAATCACAACTGGAACAGACCGCCTGCATCCAATCAAGCAGTCAGGGATTATAGGTAAGTCCAAATTTCTGACATCTTTCTCGCATAGTCTCATAAGATTTGAACATGAGACTTGCAAAACACTTACTTGAAACCATCCGGTCTTGGCCACCAAATGGATAGGTAACGATATTCAAATGAGTGCGCAAAAAAATAAGGCGAAACGGTCTGATTCTCCAAAATCGCTCACAGAAGATGATAAGCATGAAAGTACAACAATTTCCAATACAGACTCCGTGCATTCAATCAGGCAGTTGAAGATTATAGGTACGTCTAAATTTCTGACATTCTTGTCGCATAGTCTCATGAAACTTAGAATCCGACTTCCAAAACACTTACTTTGAACCATGCGGTCTTGGCCACCAAACGCATAGTTAATGACATTCAACTGAGTGAGCAAAACAATAAGGCACAATGGTCTGATTCTCCAAAATTGATCGCAGAAGATGATAAGCATGGAAGTACAACAATTTCCGATGTCCAGCTTCACATGATGAACTCTGCAAGTACGTGAAAATCACTCATGGTAAATTGTTTGTCTAATACTTATATCTCCGAATTGGCTCATTTGAATGATTACAAATAGATATCAGCAAGGAAAAGTCGCCACGGTCAACTTATCAACATCCTACCAACGCACCACTGCCAGATTGTCCTCATCCAATTGCAACTGAAAATCCAATGATGTCCACGGAATCAACAGGCAGAATAAACCAAGGAGATAACTTTGGTAAAATTCGTTTTCTATTCAAGAAAGATTACAAAAAGCCAATCAATGTTTCTACTGATATGCTGTGGTATTTCATGCATCAAAGCTTCCAACTCGGCAAATTCTGAGTCTGACAACTCAATCCGCCAGAGCGTCTTACACAGCACCCCACACAGACAGATCGACTTGTCAAAGTCCCCGTCAGAGGTCTATCTGCATCCGCCAAAGGGTAGGCCTTGAGTTTTCCTTAAATTGATGTTTATTCAACAGTTTCAATGATTTGTTTTTGTGTTCAATTAATCTTAGAAGATATGGCCAAACGAGAGGGCCAGGAGCTTATATTGGACCAATCCCAGATGCCGGAGTCTCTAGGTACCCAATTTCAAATCTAATCTACTATGACTGAATTGAGCATGCCTTTACTGAAATATCTTGATTCTCAGGTAAAGGAATCGACTTGAATGTCCAACGTACATCACCCGAAAATCGAAGTCTTTCAAAGACCGAATGCTTGAATGCAAACAAAACCACGCCTCATGAAGGCCCAATTGTATTCAGTTTTGTACATTCAGAAGCGGATGGGAAACTTCTGGTCCCAATTGCTGAAAAAGGCGGACTTCTAAACCAAAATAATTCGCGTAAGTATTCACATCATTATTTTCAAAAATCATGATCCTGATGTACGTCTTGACGAACTAGACTCTGTTGCTGATATAGAAGCCACTGCATCTACAGAGACCAATTTTCTTGTCTCACCTGCTCGCATGGAAGAAAACACGGCCTCAATAAATCAGATCACCAGAATGCATCCAATATTTCAACAACACGATGTTCATCAGAACGGTATGGCGGGAATGTACCAAAGTGGAATAAATTTCAGTAAGAGTGCATATCCCACCAGTCATGGCAGCCGGCAGATCTGAAGATCTTCTTTTTGTGTGCGTGTAAATCTTGATTTCTGTGAAATTGAAGCAGATAACGACGAACTGGGAGGTGATTTAGCTCAATCACACGATAAAGACATCACCATGTCGGAGCTGGTTAATCAAACAAACCTCCAGGCCAAATTTTTTACCAATGGCACAAACACCATTTTCCCTAGCGAGATATATTCAAGTGAGTGTCCATACTTACATTGTTATTGATCAATCTGATGTACTGATGATCTCTTTCGTATGACATCTCCATCACTGTAATTTAAGTGAATAATGATATGTGTATCACTCCAGCTGGAGTTTGCAATAATGAAATCATCATGTCGGAGGTGGAAGATCAAACACACAGAGGTAGCGCCACAAAAATCACTTCTCATGAGGATCATTGACCGTAAAGTACTGATGATTGATGTGTGTATGCAATTTATTCAAGCCAATAATGATATGCTAGGTACTTCACCCCAAGCACACAATACCGATATAGTCATGTCTGAGCTGGGTGAGCAAACAAACGGAGGGCCTACACACCTCGGCTTGCAAGCTGAACGTGATCTGTCAGAGAATGTGATTGCATTAGATCAACATGGAGCTATTCCATCACACCATCACCAATCAAGTAATTCGACCATGGCTTCGTCTTTCCAGCCTAGTCACAAAACAATCTTCCATTCCCAAGCACCAAACCACCAATTTACACCTCACTCCAACCTCTTTTTTCCCAGCCCGTCCAGTCCGCAAGCTAAAGATGATCAATGCAGAACTTTTTTTCCTGATTCAAACAATATGTTATCAGACAGCTTGGTCGAGAAATCCAAAGGAAACACTCATACCAGCCACCGTCCTTCAAAACCAAATCATCACAAAGATAGACACTCTGTTAAACAATTCATAAAACAGTGTTCTGCGTCTACAAATGGTATTTCGAACGGTCCAGATAGAACCTACAAAACACTCTCAGCAAAACATCAATCTCGGCGATCACGTACTCCGGCTTTGGCTTTTGAACCGGTACAGCATGCCTC